ACTGCTGTAGACTACATAGGAGTCCAGCCACATAGCCATTACGCCAACTGCTGGTCCCAGTCTTTGAGCCTCTCTCTAGAAATGAAAGATATTGCCGTCAGAAATTAGTGATTTTTCTTGGAGTGATTCCGTCCTGCGCGGCTGTTTTCGGGAGCCGTGAGCTGTAGTCATTTACCTCCAGGGGCCTTCTCTCCCTTTAAATGTGTACCACGCCCCATGGAAGAGTGAATGGATGCAGACACGAGCCCTTTGAGGCCCCAGAACTATCTTCTGGTTGTGAGCTAGGGCCTGATGAACAGTATGACTTTAAGGTGGATGATGATTCAAACGAACACCAGTTTCTTTAAGAACGTCTGTGTAGGGGTTGGTGTAAAGGATGAATTGCACATAGTTGAGCAGGAGGCAGCGACTTACGAAGCCAGTCCAATGAAAGTAACACTGGCAACGTAGAAAATGCCTGTTCCCCTGGGGGTTTGAAATAACTACCTGTGGTTTGAAGGTCGCAGTGTGGTTCAGGGCCTGTGCCTATTTGGGCATGGCACTGAGCAGCCGTGGAGGAAGATGCAGTCGAACGGGAAGTCGAACGGGAATGAAACCCTTAAATATATCAGGAAAGTGATCTGCCCTGGAGGTGGGAGCAAGAAACCCGCTGCTGAATGAAGATGCTGATGTTGACGGCAAAGACGACGGTGCTGAAGATGAGGAAACAGAAAAAAAAGCTCCAGTGAAGAAATCAATATGACATACTCTTGACAAAAATGCTCAAAAATCACACCAGGATGAAAAAGACTTAAAGCCATCATACAAAGATCAAAAGGTCAAGAATCATTCAAAAAGCAGGAAAGAACTCCTAAACCACCAAAAGGATCCAGATCTGTAGAAGGCATTAAAGCAAAAATGCAAGCAAGTATATAGAAAAAGGTGGTTCTCTTCCAAAGTGGAAGCCAAGTTCATCAATTACGTGAAGAATTGCTTCTAGGTGACGGACCAGGAGGCTAATCAAGATCTCTAGCAGGATAGGAAGTATCTTTAAGAAAATAGTTTAGGGACCAGCAGTTGATGTAATGGCTATGTCGCTGCACTCCCATGCAGTTGACCGCAGTTTGAGTCCCAGACCTGGTGACTTAAACTCACATTGGGTGCATGTGCATGCGTGCCCAAGATCCCAAGAGGAGAATGGAGGAGAAGGGATTGCGTTGTGGCCATCCTCTCTGGGGGGGTAATTTCTGTCTCTCTGTCTCTCTCTGTCTTTCTAGTGAGCACACACACCCTATAGCAAAAGCCTCTCTAAAAAAAGAAAATAGTGTAAACAATTTGTTAAAATTTTTCATCTGATTTCATAACAGTTGCTATCCCCTACCATGTTTGATAAATGTTGCCCAGCTTCCATTGCCAAGAATGTGTTGTCCAAAATGACTGTTTAGTTTTTAACATGGAACTCCACCCTTTACTTGGTTTTAAGAGTATATGGGCCAGTCAGGACCAGCAGTTAGCGTAATGGCTATGTCTCTGGACTCCCACTAGTTGACAGCAGTTCGCGTCCCGGAGCTGGTGGCTTAAACTCATGCCGCGCGTGTGTGTGCAAGATCCCGAAAGGAGAATGGAGAAGGGGGGGCGGTGTGGGCATGCTCCCCCTGGGGGTGATTTCTCGCTTTCTGTCTCTCTGTCTCTGTCTGTCTGGCGAGCGCATGCGCCCTATAACAAAAACCTCTCCAAAAAAAAAAAAAAAGAAAGACTATATGGAATCTCACAATAGTACACAGTAGTCGTAGTGGAAGGAAATAGAAATGGCGAGGAGACAGAAATGTACCTGTGGAATACACTCAGCATTGAGAGGAAGGAAATGAGTAATTTTCATATCTACAGACAAGAATGATTTGTATTGCCGTCAATCTGCGTTTTACAGGATTGCAAACAGCTCAGAGTTGATGAAAGGCACAGAGACCCCCGAGACTCAGCCCATAAGATCACGCCAAAGCTGTGTTTTCCATAGAGGATAGTCAGTAATGATCTTTCGACTCCCTTGAAAATCTCACAGTGTTTTTCCGGCAATAAGTTGTTGAATTGATCCCGACACACTGGTTAATGGGGCACACCCTAACTTGTAACCTATAATTAAGGTGATTGAATTGTTTTCCCCACTAGAAAGAGTAAAATGCTGCTATATGCAAGGCTACTTCAAACAGTTTGTGGAAAAATGAAATTAAAGAACAAGTTTATTGGGGCTGGCAGGTGGTGTGGTGATTGAGGCTGCTGGACTCCCACATGGCTGATGAAGGTTCAAGTCCTGGACCTGGCGGCTTGCTTTCTCACTCCCCCCCACCTTGCTCTGTCCCCCTCTGTCAAATTAAAAATAAAGTTAAATAAAAATAATTCTTAAAAAAAAGAAGAACAAGTTTATTTTGATACAAAAAGTTTTTTTTTTTTTTTTTTTTTTTAATATCCAGGCATACTTTTTTCATAATATGCTTTTCTTTTGTGTCTGAAAAAAAATCCTGGCCAAGTCCATCACGTTATAGTTTATTCCTGGGAGCTCTCTCTTCATGTTACGTTGGAAGTAGTCTTAGAATGCCCGCTTTCAGGAGCCCAGCCTGGTGGCATGGCTGACTCAGATCGAAGTGCCATGCAGGAAGCCATGTGGGTGACCTCCGTTTGGATCTCTGAGCTGGCTTGAAAACATGAGGGTGCGTGCACGTGTGCTCAAGATCCTGAGGAACTGGCGGACTTGGGATAGGGGATTGTGGTAAAAAGAGACCCTGCCAAGGGTTTAAGTCTCTTAACTTCCTCCCTCACCCCACCCCATCTCTTTCTTGCTCTTATGTGGGCACATGATTTATGGTGAATAAAGTGAGTAAACTTAAAAAAAAGAAAGAAAGAATGCCTAATCTTAGGTATTCAACCTTTCAACTTCCATTCAATATTGAAAATTCTCTTCTTTCCCCAGGTGTAAGGGCTGCCTGTCTGCGGAGAGAGCTGTCCACTCATCTCCCTGCCCCCACCTCCCATGTTAACCACTGTGGGAGGGGGAAAACTCACATTAAAGAATACATTTTTTCAGAAGCAGTAAAGTCTGGGCCAGCCTTGTAGGCCCTGTGCACAGAGAGCCAGATGCCACATGCTGAGCACCATTCGAATCCTGACCCTGGCAGCTTGCGAAACACCCTGGGTGCATGTGCATGTGTGCCCCAAATCCTGATAAGATGGGGAAATGAAGTATAAGAATCGTGGTATGACCATGTCCCACGCTTTCTCTTTCTCTCTTCATGGTGAGCACCCATGCCTCTGGAAATAACAAAAAAGTAAAATCTTTATTCTTATATAAATATAAAACGAACGGATACAGAGAAAAATTAAAACTCATTCTATTAATGAGGGAACTAGTTGTATAACTGGTTCAAAAGGAAATGAAAAGGGACCAGCAGTTGGCATAATGGCTATGTCACTGAATTCACATGTAGCTGAGTGCAGTTCGAGTCCTGGACCAGGTGGCTTAAAGTCACGCCGGGCGCATGTGTGTGTGTGCCCAAGATCCCGAGAGGAGAATGGAGGAGAAGGGAGTGCGGCATCCCTCTTGGGGGGTGATTTCTCGCATTCTGTCTCTTTGTCTCTCTGTCTTTCTGGTGAGCACATGTGCTCTATAGCAAAAACTTCTCAGAAAAAAAAATAGAAGGAAATGAAAACATTTTATATATATATATATATAGTCAAATAGGTATAATAAAATTAATTTACTAATAGATGCAAAACTGGTTGATGACAATTGATGCTATTTGATAAAACTCATTCACATTTCTATGGACAAGAGTAATTTGATTACTTTAAGATTTTTGCAAATTACAGCGATGGAAAACAGACAATTAAAAAGTTCATTCAGAGTCAGATAACCTAAAAGAATACACTAGACAAGAAAAAAATATGTATACACACGTACATTTAATTTTGTGGGGGTTCGTTTCAAGGTCTTTCAAAATTTCTCCTGACAGTGGAGAAGTAAGGGAGAACAGTTTCTGTTTTTCCTTTCTTCCTTCCTTCCTTCCTCTTTTCTTTTTCTCTCTTCCTCCCTCCCTGTCTTCCTCTTTCTCTTCTTTTTTTTCTTTCTGCTTCTTTTCCTTTTATTTATTTTTTTCTATTTCCCTAAATGGTTTTGTGTTCTCTTGGCCTGAGTGATGGGCAGTTTTCTCTCATAGCAGTTCTGAGATACTCATTGTTGAGGGACTCAACAATGGCTTCCTTTGAACTAGACAACTGCATCTTTAGTCTCAGTTATTGCATATGGTAGTTTATCCAATGTTAACACTCCCTCGTTTTTGCTTATATTACATGTCTATCGTAGGTCAGCTGTGGACCCTATCTGACTGAAGTAGTTCCCATCTCGAGTATTGTCATGGCTGATGGAAAAATAAGTCTTAAAGCTTCTGCTTAAAAGTGATATGTTACTACACCTTAGATTTCATTGGCTAAATAGGTCACATGGCAAAACACTTTAAAACAAGACAGAGATGTAGGCACTGCAGGAAGGACAGTAGATAATGGATGAACAGTGATACAATCTACCACATCGACCATAATGAAAACATTAGTAATCGCTAAGGTTCTACCCAATCTTATATTCTTGTCCTACTTATTTTCCCCTGTAAACCTTTCCCTTTAAGATCTGGAACAGAGCAGGGATACTC